ATTGTGTCTGCTCGTGCTTGTAGATCGTGTCTGCTCGTGCTTGTAGATCGTGTCTGCTCGTCCTTGTAGATCGTGTCTGCGCGTCCTTGTAGATCGTGTCTGCTCGTGCTTGTAGATCGTGTCTGCTCGTGCTTGTAGATTGTGTCTGCTCGTGCTTGTAGATCGTGTCTGCTCGTGCTTGTAGATCGTGTCTGCTCGTGCTTGTAGATTGTGTCTGCGCGTGCTTCTAGATCGTGTCTGCGCGTGCTTGTAGATCGTGTCTGCGCGTGCTTGTAGATCGTGTCTGCGCGTCCTTGTAGATCGTGTCTGCTCGTGCTTGTAGATTGTGTCTGCTCGCGCTTGTAGATCGTGTCTGCTCGTGCTTGTAGATCGTGTCTGCTCGTGCTTGTTAGATCGTGTCTGCTCGTGCTTGTAGATCGTTTCTGCGCGTGCTTGTAGATCGTGTCTGCTCGTGCTTGTAGATAGTGTCTGCTGGTGCTTGTAGATCGTGTCTGCTCGTGCTTGTAGATCGTGTCTGCTCGTGCTTTTAGATCGTATCTGCTCTTGCTTGTAGATCGTGTCTGCTCGTGCTTGTAGATTGTGTCTGCTCGTGCTTGTAAGATCGTGTCTGCTCGTGCTTGTAGATCGTTGCTGTCGTCCTTGTAGATCGTGTCTGCGCGTCCTTGTAGATCGTGTCTGCTCGTGCTTGTAGATCGTGTCTGCTCGTGCTTGTAGATTGTGTCTGCTCGTGCTTGTAGATCGTGTCTGCTCGTGCTTGTAGATCGTGTCTGCTCGTGCTTGTAGATTGTGTCTGCGCGTGCTTCTAGATCGTGTCTGCGCGTGCTTGTAGATCGTGTCTGCGCGTGCTTGTAGATCGTGTCTGCGCGTCCTTGTAGATCGTGTCTGCTCGTGCTTGTAGATTGTGTCTGCTCGCGCTTGTAGATCGTGTCTGCTCGTGCTTGTAGATCGTGTCTGCTCGTGCTTGTAGATCGTGTCTGCTCGTGCTTGTAGATCGTGTCTGCGCGTGCTTGTAGATCGTGTCTGCTCGTGCTTGTAGATAGTGTCTGCTGGTGCTTGTAGATCGTGTCTGCTCGTGCTTGTAGATCGTGTCTGCTCGTGCTTTTAGATCGTATCTGCTCTTGCTTGTAGATCGTGTCTGCTCGTGCTTGCAGATCGTGTCTGCTCGTGCTTGTAGATCGTGTCTGCTCGTGCTTGTAGATCGTGTCTGCGCGTCCTTGTAACGTGTCTGCTCGTGCTTGTAGATTGTGTCTGCTCGCGCTTGTAGATCGTGTCTGCTCGTGCTTGTAGATCGTGTCTGCGCGTCCTTGTAGATCGTGTCTGCTCGTGCTTGTAGATTGTGTCTGCTCGCGCTTGTAGATGTGTCTGCTTTTGCTTGTAGATCGTGTCTGCTCGTGCGTGTAGATCGTGTCTGTCGTGCTTGTAGATCGTGTCTGCTCTTGCTTGTAGATCGTGTCTGCTCGTGTTTGTAGATCGTGTCTGCTCGTGCGTGTAGATCGTGTCTGCTCGTGCTTGTAGTCGTGTCTGCTCTTGCTTGTAGATCGTGTCTGCTCGTGCGTGTAAAATCGTGTTGCTCGTGCTTGTAGATCGTGTCTGCTCGTGCGTGTAGATCGTGTCTGCTCGTGCTTGTAGATCGTGTCTGCTCTTGCTTGTAGATCGTGTCTGCTCGTGCGTGTAGATCGTGTCTGCCGTGGTGTAGATCGTGTCTGCTCGTGCTTGTAGATCGTGTCTGCTCTTGCTTGTAGATCGTGTCTGCTCGTGCGTGTAGATCGTGTCTGCTCGTGCTTGTAGATCGTGTCTGCTCGTGCTTGTAGATCGTGTCTGCTCGTGCTTGTAGATCGTGTCTGCTCGTGCTTGCAGATCGTGTCTGCTCTTGCTTGTAGATCGTGTCTGCTCGTGCGTGTAGATCGTGTCTGCTCGTGCTTGTAGATCGTGTCTGCTCGTGCTTGTAGATCGTGTCTGCTCGTGCTTGTAGATCGTGTCTGCTCGTGCTTGTAGATAGTGTCTGCTCGTGCTTGTAGATCGTGTTGCTCGTGCTTGTAGATCGTGTCTGCTCGTGCTTGTAGATCGTGTCTGCTCGTGCTTGTAATCGTGTTGCTCGTGCTTGTAGATCGTGTCTGCTCGTGCTTGTAGATCGTGTCTGCTCGTGCTTGTAGATCGTGTCTGCTCGTGCTTGTAGATCGTGTCTGCTCGTGCTTGTAGATCGTGTCTGCTCGTGTTTGTGTACGTGTGTGTTTGTGTACATTTTTTTTTTACTGTATTTTGAGAAAGAGAAATATTTTAAACCCATTAATTTATAAATATTTTTGTGAAAGATGAGCTGTGTGTGACAAGTACACGCGAGACCTGGTAATGGACCGGACCGCGGGGGCGTTGACCCCGAAACACGCTCCCTGTAGATAGGTGATTAGGCTGATTAGGTGGTCTTCCCGGAGGTCGTTCCGGAGGGTTATCGTCCCCGGGGCCCAGTCCTTGACCAGGCCTCGTGGTGGATCAGTCTGATCAACCACGCAATCCAACGCAATCCATCGTACAAACTACAGCCCGGCTGACCGGCCACTGATAAGTTTTCCTCAGCCTTCCTTCTATTATCACTGGGAATTACTATAAGAGGGCTGGTTAATTGAGAATTACCAAAAGGGTTGGCTAATTGGTCATTACTAAGAGGACTGACTAATTGGTCATTACCAAGAGGATTGGCTAAATTGGTCATTACTAAGAGGATTGGCTAAATTGGTCATTACTAAGAGGGCTGGCTAAATTGGTCATTAGTAAGAGGGCTGGCTAATTGGGAATTATTAAGAGGGCTGACTAATTTGGAATTATTAAGAGGGCTGGCTAATTGGGAATTATTAAGAGGGCTCTGGTTACCCGTTAATATTTTGCAGAAAGCTCTCAAAGTCTTCTTTTAAAGACAGCTTCGACTCCTGTGGTAACTTCCTGTTATGTTTGCAAGGTTCGCGTGTAAAGGAATTGTACCCTTGGTGTTCGTATTGTTATCTCACAGTGTACTCTGCTTTCCAGTGGTTGTTCTTTTGCAGTGTCTGCTGACCCTCTTGTTCCCGTACGGGTCATCTCACGGTCCAGGTTTTCATTCAGTTCGTCTGGTATTTGCCGAGTGTAAATTATAGTTGTCTGGTGTTTGCTCCGGGGAGTAGACAAGATTGAGGTACTTGAAGTCTTCCCGGGAACCTGGCTATTTGCCCCGATGAACTACGGCCAGCGAATGTTCCAGCGATAGTCTACATGTCTCCAAAACGTACTGGTACTGTACTGGTACACTACTCCGAGAGTAGTGAAACTCTCGAAACTCTTGAAAGGTATATCAAAGGTAAAGGTGTGTGATGGACTGGTTTACAAAACCGATAAGTTAAAGAATGAGATAGTTGTGTAACATATGGGAATCTTTATTGAATGTTTCGCCACCCAGTGGCTTCTTTAGTCCATTACAGAGAAGAACGGTGAAAGATGAGGAGGAGAATGAGGTAATCAGTCCCTCAGTCTGGAGTCGATGTATTCACTCCAATTTCGAGACTGATGGTCTGAACATATCGACTCCAGGATGAGGGACTGATTACCTCATTTCCCTCCTCATCTTTTACTGTTCTTCTCTGTGTAGGACTGAGGAAGCCACTGACTGGCGAAACGTTTCCTCACTAAAGATTCCTAAATGTTGCACAAACGTCTCATTCCTCAACAGTACAGTGTGAGGTACAGCCGCCTTTAAAAAAAAAATATCATTGTCTCTTGCATCTGTTGTTAGGGAAAATGTTTATTTACCAGTCTGTCTTGTTTTGTTTTAAGTAGTGATACCTCTCTTGTCTTCTTTAAACTTAAGCTCTTCCGACATGATGACTCCCAGGTCTCATACACTTTTATTCTGTTGTATAATATGGTTTAAATGATGTATTCTTCTCCAGTGTTACATTCCGAGGAGCAGAAATTTGTCTTCGTGGAACATAATATTTTTCTCTGACTCGCTGGAAATTCTGGTTGTTCGTGGCTTGTAGTTTTACTGTGTGTCTTCAGTGGCTGCACTATTGCTGAAAAGGAGACAGACATTTTCGGTAGTAATAGTGTCGAGTCAGTCAGGATGTGATGGTTATGTAGGCCTGCGTTGCTGCTGCCAATATTAGCTTAATTGATGAGATGGAAGTCTAGCTTCAAGCCGACTACGAGAGTAAAAGAACTCTCGTCATTGGTAACAGGCAAAAGAATAGCAGAGGGCCAAGGTCACCGCCTTGGGGCACTCCTGTGGTTACATACACACTTTCGAGTTATTCACAATGGATGATAAAACACCGCTTTTGGTGTGTCTGTCGGTGTCACCAACGAAAACCAGTGTTGGGCGAGCACTGTATGTTGAGTTAAACAAGCTTTTTCGAGGCCTCTGATCCGCCGGGCTGTGATCCGTACGTTGGATTGCGTGGTTGATCAGGCCTTTATTCTCCAGGAGGCCTGGTCTGGGACCGAGCCGAGGGAGCGTTGACCCCCGAGGTGCCTTGATGGCTCGTGTACACCACCAAGATGTAAATATCACTGTTATATACTACCCTGGTTCGTCGTTATTACTGAATATGTTAGAATTAATTTCTTCCTCTCACAATGTGTCGACATCAAGCCGTTACGGCTTGACGAAGCTCCTGGAGAGCGAAACGTTGCCACAATAAAATGTCACATTAGTCGTTCTTGTGTCCTTTTACCTAACATATTATCGATAATTCTACCAACATTAATACATTATTCATTATATTTCCTCGGTCATTGGCTGGGGAAGTATAAAGTATTTTTTTACGTTGCAAGTGCTTTATTATTATTATTATCATCATTATTATTATTATTATTATTATTATTATTATTATTATTATTATTGTGAGTACTGTTCATGTGGAATAGGATTTAATGAGATCTGACCACCGCTCACCTACTTTGCGTGACTATCTATGTATTGTCATCCAAAATAAGTTTCACAGGTATTGATGGTATATAAAATATGTGTTACAGGTGTGTAGAATGTATGTGTTGAAGGCAGAAAGTGGTTCTAATGCCCTCGTGTGTTGCAGGTGCGGGTGTCTGTGCTGGACAAGAACGACTCTCCGCCATCCTTCGGGGAGTCGCCTCTGCGCTTCACTGTATCCGAAGACATGTTAGCCGGGCGGTGGATAGCTACCCTGAGGGCCACCGACCCTGACACCCTGGGCACCATCACCTACTCCCTGGTGGGCGGTGACGACAACAAGTTTACTCTGGATGCCGCTACAGGACACCTCAGCCTGCAGGACACCCTCGACCGGGAAACCAAAAGCGAGTATCAGCTCACTGTCAGGGCTGACGACGGTCAGCAACACACGGACACCACCATCTACTTCGAGGTCAGTCAAACACCTGCTTATGTACATTTGTATTGACACGACAATCCCCAGGTGATCCAATGAACTACGTCGTAGTTACTACGACAAGGGAGACGTGTATATACCAAGCTATGTTACCGTTACCCATGAACTGTATGACCACTATTGGTATAGCGTTTCCCCAACATTATAATAATAATAATAATGAATTAGGCACTTGTCCAACACTGGGGTATCTTGACTGTTGAAACGTTTCGCCACCGAGTGTCTTCCTCAATAAAGATACTTAATAATGACACCAAGTGTTGTATCACCCTGTTGGTTCTACGAAGTATTTATGTATACACAATAATAATCTAGGTAACCTACACTTTCCGGGAAAACACAGTTAAGACGACGTTTCGGAAGTGTGAAATGTTCCATTCACATTATTGACATGTATTCTACACGTTTCTACTATCTACACAGTGGAAGCCATGGTAGATAAACAAGTCACTTGTGTAACAGATATCTCTTATTTCTGACACTCCTGTACCAGTTGGAGTTACTAGAAGTTAGGAACTACCTACCTGGAGTATACCTGGAGGGTATTCCAGGGATCAACGCCCCCTCGACCCGGCCCATGACCAGGCCTCCGGTAAATCAGTCATATTTTGTACAGTGTTTCCGGGATATATACTTGAGAAGTGATTCCCAGATACCTGTGGCCACATCAATCAACAAATCATTGATTAATGTTGATAATATTTGAAAAATTAGACATGTGAAACATCTGGGTATCTTTATCAATAGTAAACGTTTCGCCATCGAGTGGCTTTATCAGTACAAATTCAGAGACATAATAGAAAGACAGTAGAACTGTATTCAAAAGGCGAGGTAATCAGTCCCTCAGCTTTGGCGTTGGTGGTGACTACGGTACTCTTGGAAGTGGTGATGAGTACCATAGTCTTGAAGATTACGGTACTCTTCAGAAATCCCAAGGCTGAGGGACTGATTACCTCGTCTTTTGTACATATTTCTTCAGTCTTCACATTTTGTATTGATAAAGCCACTGGATGGCGAAACGTCTACAAATTAAAGGTACCCAGATGTTGTAAAGGTGTCCTATTCTTCATTAGGTGTTGTATATGTGTCAAATTCCTCGTCTTGTATACTACCTTTGATATACCTTTGATGAGTTTCGAGAGTCTTTCTACTCCCGGAGCCCGGCCATGGGTCAGGCTTGTCTGATGCTAGTCTGTTCAATCAGATTGCTGCTGCTGGAGGTCCGCTGTCCCAAATATGCATCACAGCCTAGGTTGATCTGGCACCTGATAAAGATACTTGTCCAGTTTCCTCTTGTTCCAACAGTGTTTCTGATATCTTTTGGTAGGATGTTGAATAGTCTGGGGCCACGGATGTTAATACAGTGTTCCCTTATTGTGCCCCCCGCACCCCTCCTTTTAACTGGGTTTATTTTGCACTTCCATATCTCTCGCTCTAATATGTTGTTATGGCAGTGTGCAGATTTTGGACGAGGCCCAAGAGTACCTTCCAGGTATATATTACCATGTATCTCTCTCTCTCTCCCTCCTAATATTGGATGGAGTACATAGGGACAATGTGTTTGGAGAAGCGAGGAAGTGAGCCAGGGAACATAGATGGTAGCCAAATTGGTGAACCATAGAGATATTAAGATGTACTGTGCTGGACTGTGTGGGACCAGCAGTTAACAGTCTGTTTGACCAGGCCTTGATCCTCTGCAAGACCTGGTCCACCATACACAGTCTTGTAGTGGGCCACACCACCACAGCCATCTAGTGGACCGCACAGATGTACTCAACGAAGACAAAATTAGTGAGCTATGGGAAGTTGAAGAAAATGATTTCACAACTAATCCACAATTCGGCGAAGGAAATTTAAACGACGTTTTCGAACCATTGTCAAGTCACGACTGAGAGAGCAAAAGAGAAGAAAGGTAGCAGACAGGTCAGGTGAAGTGAATACCAGAAAATATGTTAGGTGAATAGTAAGGTGAGAATAGAAGAGACAGTAGGTGTGTTCTGAATATCAGAACACTGAAGAGTGTTGTAGGAAGTACACTTGTGAAGTGGTATCTATAGGCAAGACCTACTTCCACTAGTGGTTTTGTCCACTAGTGGTGTTTGGAAAAAAAGGTCACGGGCAAAAAATCACAGTAAAAAGAGTTACATTTTATTTAAATACCATAAACTATTTAAGAAATAAATAAAAAATATATTTTAAATCAGTTATTAGCTGATGGTACATGACTTGTACACGTTGACAGTGCAATTTGTTCATGATGGTATTACCTGAGATAATAAGAAGTTTTAGTCGTCTCAGTAGTGAATCAAGCTGATCAACCACTTTCTGCTAACGCAAACAACGTACGATGCCAATTAGAACACTGACTTTGGTCTTTATATTGTAGACTGCCAGGTCTATCTTATGTGTGCTGTGGAGCAGTTGAACAGTTAGTCCCCTGAACTTAGTAGGTCCTTAAGTCTAGTGACACCCTGCTTCATTCGTTAATCGTATCTAACAAGGAACGACAATAATAGTTACGTCGGACAAGATAAATTCAAAACAATGTGCAACATTTGGGTTTCTTTTATTGTAGAACGTATCGCGCATCCAATTGGCTTATCAGTACAATACAGACATAATGTGGAGACTTGTATACAAAAGATGAGGTAATCAGCCCTCAGCTTGGATTGGTGGAGAGTAACCAGTCTTGAGGACTGAAGCACCGTGTGCAGCTTGGTGCTGTATACACGACAGGGAAGGAGGTGGACAGCAGCGAAGACATGTCACAGTAGGCAGAATCCCCAGTGGAAGAAGGTGTGTAGATGTCCTCTGTTCCAAGATTCCATGAAACTTCGTTTAAAATGAAATAACTCTGTAAGTGCAGGAGTATACCTATTTCCATGTGGGATGTGTGACAAAGTAAATTGGTGGTAACAAGCCAGATTTCCGATATTAGATCAAGAACACAAATAACGCTGCAGCCGTGATGACCGTGGAAACCGCATGTGTCTCAACATAGGACGATGTTGGACACCTTATGAATTCTGTTGTGCTGCATGTCATTTAAGAAGATTTAAGTACGGCGGATGCGTTATGAGTGCTGCGTTGATTTCTGTCAATAACACTATACACAAAAGTCTCGATGTTACACTATATCCAAATTGATATCACGCATATTACCCATTTCTGAGACCGATGTGACATGATGTTAACACGTCCTTCTCTAACCCAACCCGTCTCACCACAATTGTACTACTACCACTACTACTGCTGCTGCTACTACTACTGCTGCTGCTGCTGCTGGTGCTGCTGCTGCTGCTGCTGCTGCTGCTGCTGCTGCTGCTGCTGCTGCTGCTGCTGCTGCTACTACTACTACTACTACTACTACTACTACTACTACTACTACTACTACTACTACTACTACTACCTAGGGGACCTTCCACCTGATTCCTGCCACTGTATTCCTTTCTTAGTTATCTCTGTATTAGGACTGAAGAAGTCACTCGTGGCTTAACGTTTTCTTTTAATAAATGTCCAGAACTATACACAAGTGTCTTTTTCCACCCCTGTCTTGGCTAGATACTTTTAACACGTTACTGACATCCTGGAGTTTACCTGGAGAGAGTTCCGGGGGTCAACGCCCCCGCGGCCCGGTCTGTGACCAGGCCTCCTGGTGGATCAAAGCCTGATCAACCAGGCTGTTACTGCTGGCTGCACGCAAACCAACGTACGAGCCACAGCCCGGCTGGTCAGGAACCGACTTTAGGTGCTTGTCCAGTGCCAGCTTGAAGACTGCCAGGGGTCTGTTGGTAATCCCCCTTATGTATGCTGGGAGGCAGTTGAACAGTCTCGGGCCCCTGACACTTATTGTATGGTCTCTTAACGTGCTAGTGACACGCAGCTTCCAGGGTACAAGTCACAAGGAGCTTCTTAAGCAAATGCGATCAGACTCCCCAAGACTATCAACAAAGCATTCAAAGACTGCTCCAACCCCCCCCCCCGAGCCACAGAGAATTCTAACAACCACATCTAACCACAATTATCCCTCTATTATTTTCCTTTTTCCATTTATCCACCTAATCTATCCCAGGCTTGTCATCTCCTGCCTATTAACTTCAACTATAATTTGCTTGTACCTTTAATCCTCTACAGCCATAATTGCCAACTGAGTGTGCTGCGTCACACCAGTCGCTTCACTCGTTTACCTCCCTCCCCCCCTTGTATAACTTCGACTGCAATTAGTCACCAATGTAATTTGCTTAACACTTATAATTATACAACCCTTAGAATTCACACCCGAGACGTATATAGCTACTCGCATTAAAAATCGACTTTCTAAGATTGAACCACCTCTTAACGACACCCTGTGTGAATAACTTCGCACACTGCGAGTTAGTACACACATGTAATTTTCTACACCTTTGATTATACACACCTTGAATTATACGCACACCGGATTATAATACACTGCAATTATACACAATCTGATTTCTACACACATGCTATACAACCTGCATTATGACACACCTGCTGTAATACACCTGTATACACACCTGCGATAACACACCTGCAATTATACTACACCATGTGATTATACACTGCAATTATAAACGCATACACCTGTGATTATACACACTTGATTAAAACACACCTGCAATTATGCACAACCTGCTATTATACACAACCTGCAATATAGCACACATGCAATTATCACACCTATGATTATACAACGCTGCAATTATAACACACCTGCAATTATACACACTGTATTATACACACCTGTGATTAAACACACCTGCAATTATGCACACCTTTGATTATACACACCTGCGATTAAGCACACATGCAATTATACACACACCTGCTATTATACAAACGTGCAATTATACACACCTGCAATTATACACCTGTGATTATACACACCTGTGATTAAACACACCTGCAATTATACACACCTGCGATTGTACACACCTGCAATTATCTACACATACACA